ATCACTGGATAACATATCTTCATTTAATAATGTCAAGACTTCTGCGAAAATCCTTTATGCCCAGAGGCACAAACAGTACTTTAAATCTTACGGTTATACTTTCGCACAATGATTCATTTGTACCCCATTGATATATATTTTGATCTATGAACTATAAGTTCAAAAACATCACTTTTCTAAGTGAAACAAATATACTTGAATAGTGTATTTTATTTGGCCAATCATTTATCTGTCCACATTATATGACAGATTCGAATTTAAGATCCTCGTAACCACTTATAGCATTGAGTGCTACTTCATATCAAAGATACCGTCGACGGTCATTTGACTCGATTCCAATACGATATAACTTATCAAGATCTCTTCATTTTTCATCATTTTCAGGTACCTGAACCTTTGCCAAGGTTTTATGAAGTGTTATGTCATAGTGCTCTTTCAAAGCACTTACCTCATTATCATGACCATTTTAATAATTTGCTCCTCTTCCTTTCTCAAGGAGTTTTACGTTGGAATCGATTGGTCTATCACGTCTTTTGGCGTACCATAGACTCTATCCTTCATGACTATTATTGGAGCATTTGCAGCTTAATTAAAATATTGGGTCAACAAATACATTTGGCAAATTATTTGCAACATTTTGCAAATGAATTATCTCTTGAACTTCAAGTTCACATTTTTTTTTAACGAGGATCTAGATAATTCACCTCACACATAATTTCAGTTGCTAAACATATCTCCCCCCTAATGTTAGGAAATCTAACATTCACCCCCAACTCATTTGGGGATCCATCTTTGTGCGTGGTGGAGCAATAAAATTATATGTGCGCACATCAAAATTTTAGATGTAAATTATTTGGTTCCTGACCCTAAACCAATTGTGATGGGAGAACCTTGTTGGCTTGATGCATACACATTAAATAAACTCATTTCATACTAAATTTTGTTTGAGAGATTTGTTCTCATAATCATTGGTCTAGCTATAATTGGAGGCATACAATTTATGCTAAACTAACCAACATTATCAACCTAATTTTATAGTTTGAAACTGTGCTCTTAATTTAACAATTCGAGCAAACAACCTTACAAAAACCAATTTGTAAGTTGATACAAATGCACATGTGACCATACTATAGATGCATCTATTAAATCATAAAGTAAGCGGTCCATATGGCAGGTGAACGGGCCCATATTCACCTTTGTATATGTTCCAAATAATTTCAGGAGATACAATTCCAGCCTTTGTTGGTACAACGATCATTTTATAATGAGAACAAGCAACACATGAGAATTCTTGAAGAATTTTTTATTTCTTCAACATATAACCCCATGAATTCTCAATTTTTTTGCATCACATTTGAACCGAAATGGTCAACCGGTTATGCCAACTGATATTTATTCTAGTAAACTTCTAGTTTACTTTTGCATGTGATTCCATCATCATGCTTACATTTGTATACAACAAACAAGCAAAAGGCGGATAACCTTTTATGTAAATATTCATAACCCTCTTTGATTGTAGTAATCTGAAGATATTTAATCTTTCAATAATTTATAGTCTCAATATAAT